TTTTAGAAAACTCACTAAAAAACCCTCAAAAACCATCATAGAACCGATAAGTGATAGTCTATTCGAAAGTGTAGATAATGGGCTACCTAAATATGAATGAATCTGAAAATCGGTATTTTTGAAGAAAAACGTTTTTTGACCCCGAGGGGGGTCCTTAAGAGAACTAAGATATCTTTCATAAGAGCTTTCACTAGAAGATGTTATACATTTGTAAAAGTATCTATGATGAATATAGGGAATGAGAGACTGAATCGACATCCATTATGGGTAGAATATTCGAGTTGTTGATGAAGTTTTCTAATACAAAATTGACTGCATCATCAATAGTGACTCAAAAACATTAGAAGATCGAAAATGACATCATCTCGATTTTTGTGACTGAATGCTAACATCGACGCGTTTGGATGTGTCGCGTGTTGAGAAGAAGCTACAGTGCTATTGTTGAAAGGGTGTCAATGACGGTGAAAAAAGCTGAATCCCCAATCACACCCACATCCATACTAACAACTACACCCACACCCACATCCATACTAACAACCACACCCACCCACATCCACACCTACACCAACATCCACATCCACTTACATCCACGCCTACGCCCCCCTTCTCACCTCCCGATAACTATGCCAATCCCCCTCGTCAGTCTTCCCTGAGACCTAAGAAAGCATCGTGGAAAGTTTTGAGATCGTAGCTATTACAGGGACTGAATCAATAGCGAACAGACAGACATTCTTCTTTATAAATATAGATAAAGCTTTCGAAAAATAACAAACTCTTAAAACTCATCGCACGAAGTATTTGCTTGCTCCATTATTCCTTTTTTGCGCATTTCTCAAGAATCCCAAGAAGGGCTAGAACAGTTTCCTGCTGTCTACCATCCAGAACATCCAGGGCGAGTCTCTTGACACGATCAACCTCTGAGGAATGTATCTTCTTCAGTTTTGCACTGTCATGACGTCTACCAACTCGAATATTGAGACAAACATGACATCGCCATTGTTGGTTGGTTAAACCGCCACATTCTGATGTAGCTACTTGCTGGACTGATTGAACGAGCTCATTTTGCATTTTGTTGAGTTTTTCTCCGTTGAAGTCGAGCTGGACATAGTAATAAACGTCATCGTACCAGTCATTGGTCGGCATTGAACCCGAATAAAACTGTGGGAGATTAGGCATGATGACCGTGTATGCATAAACATCAAATAAAATTGATGTAAGTTCCACACAATTAGACTGCTCTATACGGTGTGCTATATCTTTGGCTGAGTCTTTGCGTGATCTCGAAATAATGAGTGAAGCAGTAGCATTGCTTGGTTTTCCTGACTGATCTTGACGCGGACGTTTATACGGTCGTTCATCGTCGGAATGTGAATGTATCCGCTGAATAATCACAGACATTTGCGCTTCTCAAATAGTATATCTAAAAAATAAAATTTCAGAGACATTCTCTACAATAGCGCAGTTTTGGACATCAAGCGAGCATAATTTATTTCGAATTATTCAGCTATCTCCTATATATAATTCAGCCAATTCCCTATCGGCAGCATTATCATCCTCAGTAGGGACTATTCTCTGAAGAGCGTCCAACAACTCGTGTACAGCATTCACATAATTATAGTCGTACGAATTTTGTAGTTGCTCCACGTGACAAGCATTTTTTCGTAGTGCCCCGATCACACTGGGAAGATATGTATTGCTGTGAATGGATCGGTTGCGAACCGTGACAAGCTGAGTGAGAGCGTCCCACACAGCTCGCCCTAGGCCATACGAGTCTACAATTTCGTAAATGTCATTTTGTAAATTGTTCTCATAATCTGTTCGGTCACGTATTTTACCTAAACGTTGAGTACAGTTGGACCAATACACAAAATTCTGAACTGTACTGTCATTTGGGCGGCGTTCTTTGAGTTTAGGGAGAATATACTTGGTACCAAGAAAACTAATGCTGTCACTTACAGCTTGCTTAGCCTCAGTTTTTTGTATTTTTTCAGCAAGTACATCATACTTCTGTTTATTATTACAGGGGACTTCATTGCGAGCAACAATGAGATCCCCATTTTTGACACGATCGGGTGCAGTTACCGGTGTGAATAACTCGTAATTGTTTTCCAGTTGGTCGACGAATACGAAATAATGTGGGTTATCTTTGATGCAACTGGAGTGCTGAATATATCTAACTTGGCGGATCGCCCGACCGGTAGGCTTAGATTCTTGTAATTTCCTTTTGTGGCCACTCATAATTAGGTGTTTGTATCTAAATACAATAAAAACAGATGGTACAGATAAGCTTTAGAGAAGGTGGCTGTGGGTGTGAGTGGAATTGAGTGTGGATGTGGATATAGGTATGAGTGTGCATACCAGAAGAGTGCAACACCAACACTCGCTCACACTCACACCCTTAAAAAAGAGCCGTGATGATATTAATTCATGTTTTCATATAGGAAATATTCTATTGACGTGTTACCCACATATATCGCAACGCTTTTTGACAGCGCATATACATGAAAGGCTTACACGCATCCTATTAATGATAAACTGCCATCATTAGCTTTTTATTGTTATTATTTATAATTGTGATCTACTCCAATAAATCATAATTTCGTAATGATCGACGTGAGTCACCAGAATTTCATTCTAGACAGAAACCTTCTAGTATTTCTTTTAAATCTATCATTTTTTCTTGCATTCCGCTACTTGTCTCAATGATTCATTGATCCGATTTTGCAAGTAAAAGTATGAAAATCAAGATATATATATATATATATAGAATAAAAGAGCTAAGTAAAAATTTCCAAGTCAAATATTACTATCTTCTCTCGTCTTGATTCCGACATTAATACATCATATCTCCTAACTTTTTTCCGATACTGTTTTCTTTCGATATTATCAAGAGTGTCGGTAAGAGTGCGGGTGAGGGTGTAAGTATCTTTATATTCTTGTGTATCCTCACTCTTACTCACACCGATGACCATATCCTAGTTGATCTCCAGCTGGAGATGAGAGTATGTCACCGAAACGCAGGATATGTGGCACGACTCCTTACTATTGGTGGGACCAAACAAAATAAACAGTCTATCAATAAAATTTAAACTGATAATACGTTTCTCACTTTGTACAAATCAACTATTGAAGGGTGTGGGTGTCAGAGTATGGTTAATGTAATACTCACACCAGCATCGAAGACTATGAAACATCTGAATAGAGTGCTTATCGTTGCTCGGAAGATATTAAATTGAAATAAAACTCGTAAATTTCTTTATGATTTTTCTAACTAGATAAAACCTTTTTATGATATATTTTTCAATTAAATTCTTTTTTATTATTCACTTGACAAGATAAGAGTTGTATTTCGTCAGAAGAAAATTTATTTGAAGCAGAAAAATTATTTTTACTCTGTAATTTTTCGTTCTGATTCTTTATTCATCACAGGATTGAGATAGTGTAAAAAAAGAGCATACATCAGTTTGGTTGCCTATCAGAGAAGCTCCTTTGTAGTGGCTGAAATATTAACAATAAATATAACGATTCAAAAGCTTTTACTAATTCTTCCGAGAAAATGATATCTAATGAGGGTACGGGTGCGGGTGTGGATGTAGATCATAGAATAAGCTTACACCACACGCGTACCCTCATCCTCACCTTCACCCACACCCACACCCTTGTACCAGGGTCTTGATCATGTGTCTATGTTTCCGCCTTCACCCTCATCATCATAAGGCTGTAGGGGTCCTGGTAGAACATTTTGAAAGTATTGATAAAAGTCAATAGAAACTCAATTGTTTTGAGGGTGTGGGTGGGTGTGGGTATCAATAGAATGATCAATAACCCACACCTACACCCTTATGTGATTGATTTCATTACTATATTTTAATAAATGAGAACGAATACAATCATGGGTGGGACTGTGAGTTAGATAACATATGTTCAATCACATTCACATCCTCACGATCATCTGTAATAGAAATAATTTATATCAGTGATAATAAAATAGATAATAACCGAAACAATCAATATCATTAAATATATTCAAATATGTGAAGATAAAAATTGTATAAATGATCGAAAATAATAATTAGATCAATACTCATTTATTTTCGATTTCCAAACATTTAAAATTGAGGACACTGCGATGGTTCTCATTATCATGATATTACAAATGATATTTATACAAATAAATATGAATGACTTTGATAATAACTATTTGAAAGAACTCATTAAAATATATTTTACATTAAGATTTAACAAAAAATGAAATGAATATGAAATTTGAGTAAATTATTGCGAGCAGTTCATTGTCTACACAGAAATGAGAAAGAGAAACAAACCATAGTAATTAAATTACGGAACTATAACAAAGCTATCCCAGTAAATGAGAATCGATCTGTCGTTTTCATGAAGTTGTGCAGTTTAAAATACCAGTTGTCGACCTTGACAGAAGTACTTATATTCTATATGCATTATTTTCAAGAAAACCTTACCTATTCATGGAGTAGTTCAAAGACTTTATATAAACTCCTGAGATAGATACAATGGCTTGAATAACACGTCAAAATAAATTACTTAATTTAATTACTTGATTGTATTGATCATAGTGATGAATTTATTCATTCTAAATATTCAAATTTAAAATGTTATTATGATATTGAATGTTTAAAAACATTTTTAACAAGTTCTTGTTTAAATCAGATTAATGTTGGTCTCCTTTTAAATGTTATTTAAATATACCATTATGTTACCCTCACCCTCACTTTCATCCACACCGATCCTCAAATTCTACTGTAGAGGTATTCTCGTTATAAGAAGATTGTTTAAAGCATGTCCGAACAATAAATAAAAGAATGAGATAAGAAAACCAATGAAGAATTTTTTTTGTCATTCTGTTTATACTTATCAGTATATGACACTGTTATTATCATATGTAACGTAATGTCCATAACTCTTACCTCTAGATTTTTTTCATTCATACATTACCAAAGAAAAAACAAGTCAATTTTCAAACTATGCCTACTAATCGTGGCACATCAAAGTCAAATATTTGTCTGACTATTACTCTATATATTTTGCAAGGCATGAATCTTGGACTTACAAGTAGTATACCATTGTTTTTGATTTATTATGGTGCTACATGGAAAGATCGAGGTACATTTAATTTTGCTATGTATCCATTCTCATTAAAATTGCTTTGGGCACCATTAATCGATGTGTTATATATAAGGCGATTTGGAAGACGTAAATCATGGTTAGTACCTATACTATTAATTTCAGGTGCAGTTTTATTCTCGATATCATTCTTTATTCAATCATGGATAATTAATAATCGTGTTATAATACTTACTATTGTTTTCTTTATAATTGTTTTTCTTACTGCATCTGAAGATGTTTGTGTTGATGGTTTAGCTATTACGTTATTTGCTGTCTCCAATCCTCAATGGGCATCGACATCTCAAGCTATAGGACAAACATTTGGTCGTTTTCTTGGTTCTTCGTTTCTTTTAACATTTGAATCAGCCAATTTTACGAACAAATTCATTCGTGAACCACTTTCATTACCTTATCAAACAACAGGTTTATTTTCATTAGTACATTTCGTACGATTTGTAGCGGTGGCATTTCTAATTGTTACCGTGTGTCTTATCATATTTGTACGAGAGAAAGAAGAAAAATTGGATGCTAATGGTAAAAAAGCACATGATCTATCTCTAATTGAAACTTATCTTTCAATTATAAAACTTTTTAAAAAGAAATGTATTCAAAAAATAACTATTGTTGCATTGATCTCACCGATTGGCTTTGTCGCTATTCAGACTATGACTCCATTGGCACTTATTAGGTAAGCAGCGTCTTTTAATTTTCTTTTTCGAAATATTTTCGTTTTAGTCAAGGAGTATCACGAGAGAATTTAGCTCTTGTCAACATACCAGTAACTCTTGCTGCAATTATTACGCCTTTGATCATTCGACATACAGAGCGAGCTCTCGATTGGTATGCAAGATTTTATGTATTATATCTTATTCATGCTCTTCCACTTGCTGTCTACGTCTACTTTACTCCTAGCATGATCTCATCTGGTTATTATTATCCAGTACTTATTATACTACTTACAATAAGTGAATTCATTAGGACATTACTATTTGCCTCCTCTGTTGGATTTTCTGCTTCGATCTGTCAACCAGATATCGGTGGTACCTATATGACACTGTTAGCTACTATAGCTAATTTAGGTTATGCTCTAAATTCATCAGCCGTTCTTTATGCGGCCAACTTATTGCCGAAGAAATATGATTATATTACAGCAGTAAGCGCAAGCTCGTTTTTGGGTCTCCTATGGTTTAGTCTTTCTTGTCGAACTTTGAAACGATTACAAAAGCTACCCGCTTCAGAATGGCATATTAAAAAAGAAGCAAATATAAATGGTGCAACGACATTAGACGAGCAAGATCAAAATGTATTATTCCTTACGCACACAGAGAAAAACTAAATGTCTTGTATTTAAAAACTATGATTGAGCATATAGGGATGAAGATAGTGTATCCTTAAAAAAATATTACAATTGTAAAATCTTGAGAGTGTTGGTGAGAGAAGACAAAACACTCTCACCCACACCCTCATAATTCATAAATCATACTTCTTTAATTTTATTTTTGTCTTTAAAAATATTTAATAAGTAATAAATATTTATTAATATTATAAAAGAAAATGAATGAACATTTTCATCATTAAAAGTTTGAGAATAGCATTAAAATTATCATGTTTATCAAAAAACGAAAGCGTTTTAAACAAATAATTGAAAATTATTCACATAATATTAATCTTGAAACAGATAAAAATACTCCAAAATCTATTCGCTCATTAAAAACAAATCAATTTTTATCACTTCGTTCAATAATAATATCGAATTTACGTTATAATGAAATAAAATCATGTAAAAAAATTTCTTATCTTTCACGAATTCTTAATCGAACAGAAAAAATTAGATCAATTGATGTTTTGATAAGAAAATCCTGTCAACAAACGTTAGTCATATCACATCAATATTATTTAACATATCTTATTCTTCGTCCATTTCATGAATGTACAATCGATGAATTAAATCATTTTATTCAAAAATGTTGTTTTTATTTAAAAAAATTAATCATTCAAATATATATCTATACAGTTAATCAACCAAAATTACTTAATATTAATAAATATCAATGGGTAAATATATTTCCAAAACAACTAAATTATTTTTATTTAAAATCAATTCCAAATGCATCAATTCATCTGAATAAAAAATTTTTAACTTCAACATTTAGAAAATCCTTTAAATGAAAATATAAATTTGACATCTGATCAAAATCAAGAACATATTTGTCAAATGATAATTGATGGAGTTTTAATTAAATATTATGTATTAAACGATTTCAAATAAATAATTTAAGAAGGAAAAACGATTCGATGAAATAAAATTTGAATATTAGGTTTTTAGCAAGATTTTTAAAGCAGAAGCAAATATAAAGTTTAGCGATGTAAAAACAAGTATTTATCAAGAAGAAAAGAAAAAAGAGACATATCGATGTAAAAATATGTTAAAAAAAATTTCTTGATTGATTAGAGTTTTATTTAAGTTTCTAAATATGAAATATCCAAGAGATTGTTCAATTTTATTAGGTTGCTAAACATTGACGCTTGTTTAAGAAAATATTTATGACTTGAGCGTCAATGCCCATGGTAATTATATCTTGATAATTATCATTATTGAAATCGGTAAAAGTAATCCATTTGCAATTAGATTGTGATTCGTTTGAATGAATGGTTTGTATAGAAAACTTTCCATTTCCATATCCAAGTAATGCATAGATTCTACATGGGTAAGTCAAATTAATAATGATATCTAAATGATTATCACCATTAATATCACCTACAACAGCTGAAGTCAAGCCTTGAGTAGATTTTATAATAGTTTTTTCGTGGACACTGAAACTATTATTGTTATATTGATATATCATATAAACAAGATCCTTCCAAATGTAAATAAAACCAATATCAGATTGATCATCATTATCAAAATCACCAATAACTATTTTAGATATTTGAGCATCAACTGTAGTAAAAAACCATTTCACTGATTCAAATGTTTCATTAGCCTGTCCAAAAAATACATAAATATGTAAAGATCTGTGATCATACACAACAATATCGAAATAGCTATCATTATTAACATCACCAACAACAAATTCATTAAGACTACACTTTACCCCTACAGATAAGATAGGTTCTGGTGAAAATTTTGCGTTTCCATTTCCAAACATCACATAAACATTACAATCATCTTTAAGAATCATAACGATATCTACTTTCTTGTCATTGTTGAGATCAATCACACTTATTTGTCGTGGCTCTTCACGCATTAACTGAGGCAACATGTTTTGTGTTTGAAATATTCCATTACCATTCTCAAGTAAAATAGTAAAAACATAATTGCTTTCGCTCCTGTGCATAAAAATTAGATCAGATCGATTGTCATTGTTAATATCAGCAACAAGAACATGTTGTAATCCATTAAAACTACCATATGAGATAAGTGGTTCTTGAAATGTTCCATTACCATTGGCAAATAATAAAGCCATGTTCTGAGTGGAATTAAAGTCACAAATGTATATCAGATCAACTTGATTATCATTATTAAAATCTGCAGCACCGCTTAAAATATTTCCAATACAAGACATTTTGATTGATATTAGTTCAAATTTCAATTGACAAAATGGTTCTAAAGAGAAATAAACCGAAACAAATACTATTCGATGTAAATTAACTTGGACATTAAGTTTTGTATAAAATAAATCGTTATGTATGATACACAGATAGTCAAAGGACAGGTTGACAAAAAAAAGCAATTTCTATCCTATCCTGTTGCTCTACAAGATGCTAAAGATAGTTATTCCCCAAATTTATACATCATTTTTATGTTAGAAAAAAATAGCTTTCTTTAAAGTTTTCGAGAAACAAATTGCTAAACTACAGCGCTAGGAGAGAATGTCTCAAGACAAAATAATGCAATAATTAGATGACATAATATTTCAAGAGTAGAGTATGTATATAGGTGAGAAACGAATATCGCACTCACATCTACCGTTGAAATACTACACCACCTTATTAATGCGACATTTTATCCGATCACTATCCAACTGTGGTTTTAATTCAATTACTAACCTGGTGTAGTCGAAGATGTTAATATCGTTGTACTTGCTGTTGTATTCAAACTATCATCCACTTTTGCATCCGTTGTCGAAACTATTGAAAAAACAAACATTTAATAATTATTTCATCAAATATCTTTGATCATTTTTGAGTCAAGATATTTGTTAAAAAAGTTACATATATTTTCGTTTATCACATTCATCTATATATCAAAATAGCTTTTAAACTACGTTTTAGTTTACTGTATTTCATTTCACGTTTTACAATGAATATCAACTGTAAAACTGTATTCTTACCATGTTTAGTATAATAAATCGAAAAAATGATAATACCGACGATCAAAACTATTAGTAATACAATTATCGAAATTATATTAGAATAACGCCGAATTGGTGGAATAATAATTCCTCTAAAGCAGAGAAATTTAAAATTAAAATAATAAATTAAAAACATCGATGATATACTCAGATGTTATATTATCGGTTCTTGTAATTTCAACATTTAAAGTTGTGTTATGAATAACAGAACTATTAGATGATATTTCAAGAGAATTGTCAGGATGAATTGATGTTCTTTGTCTTTTTCGATAACGATTGACTATTGATACAATTCGAACTAGTTTTGGACAAATCCATTTGAGAACTATTGCTAAACCACCTTGAAGACCAAGAAAAAGAGTAATCGTGTACAATATATTAAATCTTTCAATATCAGTGTATGAACATAATAAAGGAGAACACTGTTCATAATAAGATGAATAGTTGGATTGATTGAACCATCGTTCATTGAATAAATTTTTAATCAATTCATCAATTGTTGCATTCTCTGGAAAACGACTGGACATTATTGAAAGAGGAGTTGAAGAATTATGATAATTTGTATAATTTTCAATAAGATTAAGACATGATTGATCATAAAAACATTCAAGAGTTGATAAGCGAAATGATTCACTTGGTGTACATCCTATTTTTAATCCTTTCACTGGTATTATTTTTGAAGTATTTTCGTTGACAAAAGTTGCTTGAGTTGTACAATTTGAATACATTCCACATGAGCATTCATTATCATAAATCATACCTTCAGTATATGCATAACCACCGCCATTTTTAGTCACCAAAGAAATATATTCGAAATTTGAGCCATATGTTGATATGAAAGCATTTCCATGATTAACAGTTCGAGTGATGAAGAGAAGACGAGAGAATAGAATAGGAGCATTTGATTTGCTTTGATCAATTGAGTTATTCAGATGGTTATAAAAATTTTGTTCAGAGAGAAGTTCAATAGTGACTAGTAATGATGTTAGAGATTCATTAATAGCATTATTGACTGATTGTTGAGAAAGTCGACATAATCCTTGAAGATATTGTGTATGAGCAGAAATAAATCGACGATAATCTTTTTGTGAATAAATAGATAAATTAGAAACAAGACCATTTGTTATACCGACTCGCCATTGTTCGGAAACGAATTCACTTGAACAAATCTATCAATAAAAATCAATGAAACTGTTAATTAAACCTATCATTGAAAATTTTTATAACAAAATTTTCGTAAAAAAAATAAAGTTCTTTCATTTTATCTGATTAATAAGAGTTTCTAAGATTTTGTCAATTGTAAATTTCATTGATGGTATTTTTGCCATTGCCGAATTGCTAGTGGATGTTTGCCCATTGGCGGTAAGATTTTATCCTGATGAACAAGGTCATGATGTAATCAGTTGCTTATTCCATTCTTTTAAAACAACAAAACAATCTCTTACCGAATGAAATTCTGGTTTAATTTCAACAAATCGATCATATGTTGATGCTATTTTTGAGCATGAACATTTTAATTTATTTCCATAAGTTTTTTTCAAATGTGTATAACGCATAAATGATGGTTGATCAAATGTCTTTGTTAAATTATGTGGTCGAATAGTTGTATAAAAGATAAGAATAACCAGACAACTAAGAAATAAAACAATATAAAGACGAGTTGCCCATCGACCATAACGTTTAGCTGTTATTTGATCAGTATTACTTCCAAAATCACGTGTTGAAAATATATTTAATTCAATTAAAGTTGTTGACAAAAGCTTAATCAGATTTCGTATCATGATTCTTATTCGATCGACACAACTACGATGAACTGAAAAGAAATAAAATCATATTAAATACATTCGGTTTTAATATTTTTATATAGCGGGTAAACATTTAGAAATCTTCAAATATTAAATAAAATTATATAACTATTATTTAGTCAAAAAACAAAATAATGAGACATTTTTTGTTTTACTGTAACAATTATTTTGAAGTCTTATGTCGAAACGTTTTTCGGTTGATGAACACTTCGTCCGATATTATTTACAAAATAATTCAATTTCAATCAACGAAACTTTAAAGTTTATCTTTTGAAGATTTGATTAAAACTCTCATTACCTCGTTCTCTTGGTTGATGTTGTTCCTTTTTCTTACATATTGTTGGTAATTGAAGAATAAATTTAATTAGATAAGGTGTCACAATCCGTAATAAAGCCACAATACCACCAATCGTTGCTATCAATTCTATTATCACTCCAACAAAACTTTTTGTACGAATTTTTTTTGAATAAGTACAATAAATCGGTGCACATGATTCATAAAATGATTTGTGCGATAAAGATGGATTCCATTGTTCGATCATAATTTCCCTAAACATCATTGAAACAGTTGTATTTGGAGGAAAACGGCTCGTTGCTGGATTATAAACCATTGGATGAATTATAAGCGATGGTTGTCTATTAAACCAATTCTTGTCAGTATATCTCAATAATAATGGAAAACAATCTGAATCAACATATAAACATTGGAGTGTTGAAAGAAGAAGAGAATCCATAGCAAGACATCCTTGAACCCAACCTGATACACTATAGATTAAACTATTATTATTAGCCTCTTGTTTATAATAAAGATCGTAAATAACAGTCGGAACTTTACAATAAGGATCAGTTGCACAAACACATGTGATCATTGATGAATTGATTTCTTCGATTTGGTTTAAAATAAATTTCAGCTAAAATTAATATTATAAAAATCTATAATTCAACGTTAAACAAATGAAAGGAATTCTATTTCTATATGTGATCAATATCATTTTTTACCAAGGAAACATTATTCATTTGAAAGGCCTTTTCTTTTATTGAAATGTTTTCGTTAACGTAGGTGTGGGTTGATAATAGACGTAGCAGACTAGAGACACCATCACCCCCATATCCACAACCATACCCACGTCCTCATCTACCCCACACACCCTATGACACGTATCTTTTGATGCAAGCAACTTTCGAAAAACTGAATCAGGAATCCCGTCGGAAAAGAAGAATCGTATACGCACATTGCTTCCGCGCTCAGGAATTGTTTGAAGTTGAGTCTGAAATGGAGGTTAGAACCAGTCTGGTGTCGCTCGTTTGGAATTTGTGAAAAACCAAAGTGGAACTGGTTATTTCCCAAGAGGTGCTTAATACTAGTGTTTCATCTAGGTTTCGTTTTACGAATGGGCGGCGTTCATTCAGCCCCCATCCGAACCATCTTAAAATATACAGTTTCTGCGTTTTTTTCGGGAACTTTCCAACGATTTTCAGTCCGTCATGCCTAGAGAAAAGTGGAAAAATCCGGTGAATTACATTCCGGAATGCTGTTTCGATCAATTCATCATAATGAAATGGACCCACTCGTTTCCGTCCTGTATTTTTCGACCTGGGTATCTCACCATGTGTGACAATCATTAACTTATAAATATTTTATTTTCTTTTTGAACGTGAACAATGTATAACTTATTTACTTTTTAATTACTTTTCCGAAATAGTCAAGATAACTAAACTACTTCTGATTATTTCTTTGAACAAATGCATCATTTTATCATTCAAAATAATAACATACCTTTACTAGTTGAGTTTCATTTGTTTTATGTTGTACAACATTTTCGATTAGATTGGTGTTCAAGTTATCCATAGTATTTCGGATTGGTCCTGTGTACAACTGATCAGTCTGCATAAGAAGTCGTAAGGCATTTGTCATCAAATCAAAATTATGACCTGTTAATTGATAAAATTGATTGAGACTGCTATTTAATTGTTTGTTGAAATCGTCTTCGTTCATTACAAAAGAAACAATAAATAATTGAGAAAGATATCGTTTCACAGCATCATTGATTGTCTTATTAGCTAATTGACAAAAATCAGATAACAATTGAAACAGTGGGGATACACGAAAACGCCAATCCTTAGAAATAGCATCATATCCACTACCTCTTAATATTTCAATCCATTCATTATCAACAAAACCACTCGCACATATTTGATGATAATGTGGAGACAATGAGACGAATTTTTGATGAGATATGGCTTTATTAAAACATGGACATTGGAGTGAAGCGTGATGTAAGCCTCGTAAAGACTTATAAGTTGTTAACGATGGTTTTTTTTCAATTTTTGTCAGAGTTTCACTACTCAATGATGTGAATAAACAAAGAATACAGATTGAACCTATAATGTCATCAACAAAGAAAGTGAATATGTTATTTATATAAAAATGAGATTTTATCGAAAATTGAAAAATGTTCCTTAACCTACGAGAATAGTATTTTTTTCTAAAATACATGATAATTTATCTCTCAATGTAGTCAAAAGCACAAACTCTATAATTAGATACAATTAATCGAAACTTTCTTTGAATCTTAGCTCATCACTTATAAAAAAACAATGACATAATAGCTTTACCAGTTAATAAAATCAAATAAACACATGTGATAGTCTTTTGTTGTTTGATACTATTTTCTGTTCGATCATTAACATTCTTAAATAAGTTTAATCGTTTTACTGATTCAATAAATTTCAATAACTTTCCATTTTGATCTATTAGAAATCGAATTGAAATTCTCGACAATAAAATATTCTTTCTTCAATTAAAGATCTACCTGAATTTGGGTTTCTCTCTCTTGAACAACATTTGATTTTCGATAGAATATCAATAGACCATGATGCAATAAGACGAAGTATAACAATAAGACCACCATAAAGACTAATGAAAAGAGTTATTCCATGAGATAATTCTGTTTGATCTTTTTTTGAATATGTACAGTTTGATGGAGAACATTGATGAAAATATTTTGTATAATTAATTTTCGTTGACCAATTCATAATGAAAAGATTATTTAAATATTCATTAACAGATTTATTTTCATGCTTTGAAGTTAAAACTGAATTATTTGCATGGAAATTTATCTAAACAGAATGAATATTTCAAAGATAATCAATTATCGTTTACAAACTTGTTGACGAACTGGAAAATAATCCACTAATAATTGAAGACATTCTGTTTGATATAAACAATCTATTGTACTTTCAAGAAGTGCTTCAAAAGGAGTACATCCTGTAAAGAACCCATTAACAATTATAGAATTTGGCCTCCGATTCATTAAGCTTCTACTCTCGGCGTCGATTAATTCGTAGATCACTTGACTGAGAGTAGCATCAGCTACTATTTTCTTTGTACTACATTGTGTGCTGTTATTCAAACCAAAAGAGTACGTTACTTGATATGCACGTGTACGAATAGATTCATTCACCGACCGTTGTGTCTTAATTATTAAATTTGTATTGAGAGCTGAAACTAAATAATTTGTTCGAGCTGTGTTTCTTAAATAATCTAAATATGTTATCATTTCGGACGGTGCACTTTTCTTTAGTAAATCAATTGTTCCATCTATTTGAATTTGAATTTGTTCTTGAGGAAGAAGATAAAGAGTAACAAGTTCATTATTGTCAATATCAATCTCAATTAGAGAAATAATTTCTTTTGAAAATGAACAAAAACTTGATAAAAGTTCAAACTAAAGAAAGGAAAAAATAGACAATGTTATTTCATTTAAAATTTGAATTAACTGATGATTAACTAATAAGTAATTCGTTTCAGTTTTTGAATTTCTTTCCTTCTGAGTAATCTTTAAAATAATGAAACTTTGAATTCTAGTACGATTGTACAGCTAATTACAACTATGACATTGTCTGATATTAAATTATTTATACTAAAATCAAAAGCATATGAATGAGTACAATATGGTGTATAGATCTCAATTCTATACAATATAGACAAACTATTATTTTCTTTAAACTATATGAGTTATGCGAGATTATATTCTAAGTATTTCGCTCTGAAATCTTTCAGGTCTCACATAGTCACTTTTTTGTGTGTGATACAATATTTCAAATCTTCTGTAAAGTTTAATTATAAAGGCTTGAAAGAAATTGTGGAGGAAGGTGGAAATATGCATGCTGAATGATGATAGATCAATATAATACTCATATCCACACATGCATGGGAGAATTTGATTTTGCGACGAAATCATTTAATTTAAAAAAATTAATTTGTAGCAAAATCAATATTTGTATACATGCACAATGTTACGGTATAATTGATATAAGGCTTATATTACTTATATCCCAACACAGCAATATTACAATGATCTGTTGTTAGATATCTGTTCATCGCACTTGAAAACCAACTGCTACCACGCCATGACCTTAGAGAAAAAAGCTAGCGAAACGCCGTCGCGATGGTGAATAAGATAAATATACTACTGTGGCAGCCCCGTCACGATGACTTTTGAAAAATCAACCTCTACTACGTCAACATCAACATCAACATCCCTACCTGTTATATCTGTCTTGAATTTAACAGAAAATATCGCTTTTATATAGTTTTACCTCAAATTCTCTATTAATTCTATCTATATCAAACTTTATCTTGAGGAACATTCTGGTGTTCTTCAGTACATCGAACAATATCTTTTCATTCGACTAGTTGATGACAGGGAAGCACACATGTTAAAATAGAAATTCTAACTTACTTGTGAATGTGCTGTTGTTCGAAAATCCCATACTCCATATTGACTTGCATTTGAAAAATATAATCCTTTGATCCATTCTGGTTTAATAAAAATACTCGAACAAACCGGATGCATTGTAACATTGTTCGAAGTAAAATTTCCATAAGGTATTGCTATTGTTGAACATGGACATGAAAGAGTTTGATCATGCTCAAAGTAAAGCTTCTCAAAAGTATCAGGCGTTATATTCGAGATTATAATTGTCTTAGATTCGGTTTTTATCAAAGCAACATAGAATAACATATAGAGACACACTAAAACAAAAAAAGTTGTATGATGACAATTTTCTTTAAAGAAGTAGCTGAATAACTTAGATTAAAATCTTTTTAGATGGATAAACAACTTTATTTTTAGAACTAAATATGTATTTCATGATATCTCAACAAATTCAAGTTTTGTTTGAATTTGAGAGTGTGTGTCTGTGAGTGTGGGTATAACGTGAGTATAATATCCACACCCACACTCTACTCTCATTATTACATACAAATAATTCTTTGATGAACACAGTAATATGGTCGTTTTGGTTGAAACGAATTTTATTCACGCATACAAAGCACACACACAGCATATATCTAGATGTGGGTACCATGAAATATGATTCTACAAGGTCGAGAGATCATACATCTCTACATACAACGCTATATTGAGATATTCGATAAAACATTTTTTCATTTTGGAAGCCTCAGATAAAGATGCAGAATATGCGACGCCTCTATAGGAAGATGCAGGGTCCTCCGCAGAATATGCATTTTCTGCACTGTTCCGAACTCAAATTTACGAAAATTTTTTTTCAACTCGGAGACGGGACGGATTCTTAGCATCCTACCAATTTACTTTCGATATCTTTTAGTTATAGCTGGTACATCTAACTACACATAAAGAAGAAGGCTTCTTAGTTTGTACGCAATGCATTCGGTACCAGTAATAGCTGGCGTCATCCAACCTTTCATGGCACTTGTCTAAGTCTAGAGGAATGCCAGTAGAAGTTTGGCATCACTGAAGGAGAAGGAACGAAGTGGTACTGGGAGATATTTCACCCAGATCGCTCTGTAATAGCTAACGTCACCATACTTTTCATGATACTTTCATAGCTCCAATGGAAGGCTGAGAGGGGGTTGGTGCCATTCATGGAGGCTGGAGACATTGATAGGGGTTAAGAGAGGATGTCTGAGTGGAACCTCACCTACACAGTTCTGTTATGACTAGCGCCGCTAAACTTTCCATGCTACTACCTTAGCTCTAATGGAAGATCAAGGCGGGGTTGGTGCCATTGATGGAGCCTCAGTATAAAGTATCTGGGTGGAATTTCACCCACACAATTCTGCTATGACTAACGCCGCTAAACGTTTCGTGATACTTCCCTAGCTCCGATGGAACATTGACACGAGGTTGGTGCCACTGATGGAGGCTCAAGACATTGGCAGAGGTTGAGAGAGGGTGTAGGGGCGGCCCCAAGAGTTTAGACTAGAGTGGGCTAGAGCCTAATGAATTTAGACTAGGATGGGTACAGCATTATATATATAAGATCTGAAAAAAGCTTCAGAGTGGGCAGAGTCCACCCCAGCCCAGCCTTGGCACCGTCACTAAAAGGATGTCTGGGTAGAATTTCACCGAGATAGTTCTGTGATTGCTAACGTCACCAAACGTTTCATGGTGCATCTCTCCCTCCATTAGAAGACTGATAGGAGGTTTGTGACACTAATGAAGGCTAGGGAAGAAGTGTCTGGGTGGGATTGCACTCAGACAGCCCTGTGATAGCTAACGTCACCAAACTTTCCATGGTACTTTACTAGGTCCAATGGAAAGTGGAGTAAGAACTGGCGACACTAATAAATATTGTGAAGGCAATATCTGGGTGAAGTTCCACCCAAATGGCTGCTGTGATAACTAACATCACCAAACTTCTCACGATACTGATCTAGGGCCAGACGAAGGTTGAGAGAAGATTGACGTGACCAACACGGTTTGAAGGAGGGGGAGGGACTGGGTGGTGTTTTATTCAATTGTGATGAGGTGCAGCTTTTTGCTCTCTATGATAGCTAGCGTCACGAAACTTTCTATAGTACTTGCTAGGTCCAGAAGAAGGTAGAGAGGGCTTGGAGCAACCCTAGGTGGGCTGGGCGAAACTTCACCCAAGCCACAATATACAGCGGTTTTCACTGATATTTGAGAAAATTTTGAGAGTTCTGACCGATTTGTAGAGTCCCCATTTACTACTATCTATTTACGGTTGGTGTGCATGTGGCACAAAGGAGTGGAGATGAGTAAAACGCATGACACGCACACTCTCAAAAGAGCATCCGAATGGGATTTCTAAAACAGAGATGGAGTTGAAGTGGATCTGTATTAAACTACACTGAAATTAGAGTTGCAGCGGGATTTTTACACTAGCAGTAAATCTGAAGTGGAGTGAGCATGTACTATCTGAATGGGTTTGTAGTAGGATTTCCAAAATACAGGTGTAGTTGCAGTTGCAGTGGAATGTTTATACTACGAGTGGATCTCGAGAGAAGTTGCATTGATACATAGCCACAGTGGCGTCACTCAAATATGCACGGTGAGATATGTAGTGGTGATAGACGCAAAGCTTCCAAACATACCCCTGTCTATATCTGCTGTCGTTTTCTAAGCTGGCAGGTATTCAATATGAAAGTTTCTGAACCACCATCGGATAACTTCGCTAGTATTTTATATTAGCTCTATAACATCTACAGCATCCCCAATATACGAGATATGTCACACCTCGCATGATTTACCTGCAAAAAGAACAACGTATAATCGAGTTTTATATTTTTGATGTTTAAGAACAACAGCTAGATCTTGAACAGTATCATTATCATCATCATATTCATGTTCTTCTAACATAAAAAGATTGTAATTAGATCCTTTTTTATAAAGCCACGCAGGTAAAGTTTTGAACTTCATCATTCAATGAATGAATGAATGAATCTTTCAAAAACTTCTTGTGTTGGTATTGAAACTTGAAAATCAGTTGAAGTACTTTGCTCTGAAAAAGAAAACAATTATTTTAAAAAGAACACAAGAATTAACCAGGAGAAGAATAGATAGTCAAACGTCTTTTTAGAAAAGAAACAGAGTTTTTGAGTGTTATTTTCTATATGGATTATCACTATTTAGAAGAAAACAATAAAATTGACGGTCAGAAGTTCCTCAGTTGCATTTCTGCTAGTAAAAATCCAGATTTTAATGCCAAAACATGTAAGAAAAGTAAAAAGTAAACATGATATTCCAATATTTAAAAAACAGATAGATGAATATTAAAGTAACAAACCTCCAAAGAATGGAACGATATTTGTAAGAAGAAATATTATTTGCTTGAATTATATTGAAAAAACAGTATTTATGTTATAATTGTATCTTACATTCTAAATGTAGCTAATTGTCGATTTGAGTAGAAGAAAAAAAATTTTGGAAAGGAAGAGAAAAAAAAAGAAAATCTATTTTTATTTCGATGCTTCGAGAATATTCTATCTGTTTTTTTAATGGAAATTCTAGTTGATTAATAAACGATAAAAAACATATCCTTTCAATCTTTTTCTCTTTTATCATGATTAACAAACTTGTCTGGAATGAAAAACGACGCAATAAAATATTTGATAACATTATGCCGCTTTCCTGATAAATTGTTTGTCACATATAAATAACATTTGTCCATTTATTTCAAATGATTTTTGCATGATTAATCATTGTAAAGTAAAGAACACAATTTATTTTAAAGCCTCAAAAAGAACAAACTAAGAAACAAAATTCAATTAAATCCTTCCCATGGATGTGTCTGTAAGGAATATGACATCATTGTCCATAGTTGACCAGAATTAAATATCATATGAAAAAAATGTACTTTGCATAAATTAAAATATCTTTGTATTATTTTTCTATATATCAATCTTCGAAATGATTTAATTTAACAAAGAAATATTCTATTTATTTTATTGATGAAGACAATCTTTTTTTTTTAATTTATTTATTAAGTAAAATAATTATTAAATGTGAAAATAGAAATACAAGTCAATATTAATTTTATTCTCTATTTTGATAAGAAAGTTTATTCTTTTTTTTTACGTTTGGTTACCTTGAAAAATGGCGTATTTCCTATGAAGAAAAATATAACCATCTGACAACATTCGATCAAACAGAGTTAATAGAGTTTGACGTTCTTTTTTTTACGCATTTGAAAAATAACATTCAATATTGATTTCATTTCTATTTTGAAATCAAATTTCTATTAGAATTATTAAATTAATTTTTCTAGTAAAAGATAAAACAATTAAATTATTTGATGATTTGATTTTAAGATGTAATAAAATATTTTTCATGAAAATCTTGAGGATGTGAGTGTGGATATTATACCCATCTATCATTCTCACTCATCCACATCCACACTCACACCCTCAAGCTTTCTTTTGAAAAACAATTCAAATATATATGTCAAAAATTGAGAGAAATTTCGAAAAAACTGAAAGGCTCATTTATTCTGTCGTACCCGTAATTTTAAATGATATATTTAAAATAGTCAAAAGCGATACTTGCATGAGAGATATATATGCTTGATCATAAAAATCAAGATTGTATGGTCATGAAAGACGAAAAGCTGATTATTTCCTCTGGTATCAATTTCTGTAAACAAAAACATATTTCGTAGTATTCATAATGATTTCAGTATTATCTTTTATATCATGCGAGCATGTCTAACATCTAGTGTTTGGCAATAATAGTGAATCAATAACCTCTTGGCTATGGATTTTATATTTCAGATACAATTTTGTTCGTAAACTGAATAAGAAAGAGCCATGTGAATCCATCATCACTATCACATAAAACAAGAGAGATGTTAGATTACCAGATTATCAACATAAATTTCATTTTTATCAATCAGTCATCATATGCGATAGTTTAATATCCGAAGCGTTTATATCAATGGAAAAAGTTACAATCAAGACTGAGATTTTAATGTAGAAATAAACATAATGTAGTTAATTTTATGTTTTAATATATGAACAGGAAATTTTCGAACTTATACGATCATTATCTATCTATATAGTAAAAGTAATAAT